CATCACATAGTTCAGAAGACTTGCAAGTTGTGAACTGCAAATGATCATATCCTAGCGCTATAGCGTCAGATCGAAGGGAGGGCTCCATTAACCTTTTCTTGGTCCTTCTGATACCGCTTTTAAAGAGCTTAGTATGTCGCCCAGTGTAGAGCACTATACCGTAGATGTTGTCTGTATTTTTCAGTCGGGCTCCTCTCAGAATGACATGAGCATTCGCTGAATTAATTACTATTCTTTTGCTGTATATCCGAAATGGAGGATGAAACTTACGTGGATGCACAGCCCATGCTGATCGCCTGGGCGGAGACACTCAACCATTGCGCTTTTCTCATTTTCGCGTCCATCCGAGCCTCTCAGGGGGCATTTGGGAAAGCCAAGCGTTGACTGTCTACGTTCACCCGATAAGCGTGAGTTGTGAATTAACTACTACTAGATACCCAACTTACTTAACGGAATCGTAAACGTTCTATTCGACGAGTTAGACTGTGCCATGTCTGCTTGAAGACAAACTATTATTCTTTTTTGATACTATTGATGACATCAGTAATACTTCAATTATACATGTTACAAAATTGGGCGCTGTTCGGTTTGGGAGGGGCAGCTGATCTGCGGGCAAAGCGTTCAAAAAAAATGCAAACGCACTGCACTTTGCACTTTCGCTGCTTCACTAGGTTTGGTTCACATGTCTTACTCTGATTAAACCTGCGAATCCCTGTAAAGCTGTAACATTGTCAAACCTGTCAACTCCTGTAAGCACATGAAATAGCTATAGATAGTCCGAACGTCGATGGGAACTAGCAAAAGTGAAAAAGCTCCTCCCTTCCCCCGTCGCCGAACTGCGCCTTTACCCCTCTCTAAAGGCCCTTGGTTAGGTAGGGATCAATTTTTTACTAAACTGCGGTACCCATTTTACATAGGCACCCGTACCAAATTTTGTCAAATATCAACAATACCTGCGTCTGAGCTGATACTCGTACTATCTGCCGATGCATGCAAAAGATGTGATCTTCCGGTCATATAACCTTGAAACTCGTGGATGTTTCCGTTCGGAGATTCGTAGAAAATGTCAACGCCACTACGCCAAAATTCCTATAAGAAGGAAGCTGATCGATATTTCGTAGCAAGCATGGGTGCTGATCAGGGGGATCACTTTGCGGCACAGATCAGGTCGCCGTGCAACGTCGCGATCACTCATGAAGACGTCGTTCTTATCGCAGGGCACATCATTAGTTGGGGATTTTAG